GCTAATCAAGAATCATTTGCACCTAAAAAAAAGAATCTTAAGGCAATTTTAACTTGTAAAAATCCTAGCAAATACACATTTCCTCTTGTCATGCATATATTCATCAGAAAGCCCCAAGAGACTTTATCAATTATCGCAAAATCTGAGATGGATCAAAACTTTGGTCTTTGTCTCTATAATTTCTGTACATTTGTACTCTATACATATGGCAAAACTGTATCAAGATCGGCTCGTCCTCAAAAAGGCGGATGCCAATCACAGGGAGTAGAGTGATGTGGAGTATCTATGAGCTAAGAATGTTTAAAAGAGAAACTCTGTTCTGGACCAATTTCCTGAACAGATCTCCTGCTCCATTCTGAAGATCTTCGATACTGCACTCTAACTCCTGCAATTGCTCCTCCTTGCAGACAATTGCCTTCTTCTTGTAAAATGCCCTGCAGACAAGAGACTGCTTTGGCATTTCAATTTGCGTCGACAAGAGATGGAGTGTGGACTCCAACAGAGAGATGCATATCTCTCTTGCCTTGGTCAATAGCATGACCATCTTGTCGAATGCAGGCTTCTTGGCAGACTTCTTGAAATGTTTCCTGGCCTTCTTCACCAAGCGAATAAAAGACTGGATCTTGGCTTGACCAGCTGCATCATCTCCTTTTCTTAGAGCCAATTGGAGCTCTTGGATGATGACCATCATCTCGGAGAAGGTCTCTTGCATGGTGCTTCAGAGATCTAACAGCTCAATGGAGCATTCCATCTCCCCATCCAACATGTTCCTCTGCTGGGAGGAGCAAGCTTGGTTGCTTGGTAGGCAAATGATCTCTTCAAGACCATCGTAGAGGCTTGCAAGACTCCTGAGACCATCGCACATCGTGCCGATGGAATTGGAGGAAGAGATGCTTGCTTCTAGGCAGTGGAGCTCTTGCTCGACTTCGGTCTCACTGACGTGAGGCCTAGAAGGCAAACTTATCGATCTTTGGTGGAAAGCCATATCTAAGCCTGAAGCTTATCGCTGTCTCGTGGTCGATGAGAGGAGGAGAAGCAGAAAATAAGAGCTTCTTGTTTGATGTATCTACCACTCCGCTGCCGCATGTTTATACAGAAGATGTGTACAGCTGTGTCGTAGCATCTGATTGGTAGACATGAAGAATCATGCCATTGCATCTCCCACATGCTGTCTGCTATGCCTTGAGATCGCAACACTAAAGTCTTCTCATGTTTAGTACATTGTTTTCTGTGCCTACTGCCCATGAGATGAGTCACCACATTATCATGTTCCAGCCATTGGCAGCAAGAACCAATGAAAAAGATGCTCGGTTTAGTCTGACGGTGGGTCTTGGCATAATTGCACGCCCATGCAATTATTTAATGGATCGCTAACCTAGCATTTAGCTGTAACATGCCTTTTGATAAGGTATTTTCCTTGGTGGGCACTGCTGGGTATCACAAGTTAGAGCCTCGACGGTCGATGCTGGCATGTTTAGGCCACTGACACAAGATCCACTGCACAAGATTCACGTTTTTTCAGTTTGAGGCTTTCAGCCACCCACTGTGTGAGTAGCATGACCATTTGATATCTATAAACTACACAGACTAGCTTTTGATGTGTGTCTAGTTTTTTCAATGTTTTTGTACAGTCCTGTTACCTTTTAGTCGTACTAACTGATTCTCGGACATCGGCATCTTTACTTAGGTGAAGTTTGAAATAACAAATAAGCATATAAAGAATCGGTTGTTCTTTGTGTATTTTTTTTCTCGAAAAGGGTTCTCTGTGTGTTGAGAATCACTATATGGAAAGGAACAAAACTTTGTGCACTGGCAAATTTGGATTACGTCTTGCTCAGATTATTGTTGATCCGGTAGAACATGCAAAAAGCTTGGTTCTAGGGTAATTTTCATTTTGTTCAATGCTTAAATGATATAGATGTCAATGATGTTTAAAATTTGAGCGCACTAATTATGCCAGACTGCACAGCCATGTGGTGGTGCTGGAAAATAAAATTGATTGATTCTGCCGAGTACAAGTTGAGGCCATTTGACTTTCAGCTGGCATGTTTCATGCATAAGGAACAAGATTCACTAACCATGGGCTTCAAAATAGACTATACTGGGATCACAAACACGTCTTCAAGAAAGAAATGGTCAAATGGATCAAAACTTTTCTTTCTCTTTTTGTAGTATCATGTACATTTGTACAGTATAGTGTATACATATGGCAAAATTGTATGAAGATCAGCTATTCCTTAAAAAGGCGGATGCCAATCGGAGGGCGCCAAGAGTGACTTGGGAGTATCTTTGAGCTAAGGATGTTGAGTAGGGAAACTCTGCTCTGGACTAATTTTCTGAACAGATGTCCTGCCCCACTCTCGAGATCTCCGATACTGCACTCTAGCCCCAACAATTGCTCCTCCTTGCAAACAGCTGCCTTCTTCTTGTGAAATGCCTTGGAAACAAGAGACTGTTTAGGCATTTCGATTTGCTTCGACAAGAGATGGAGTGTGGACTCCAGCAGAGACACAGAGATCTCTCTAGCCTTGGCCAACAGCATGACCATGCTACAATCTGCAGAAGCCTTCTTCGCGGTCTTCTTGAAAAGATTCTTGGACTTCTTCACCAAGCGGGTGTAGGACTGGATCTTGGCTTGAGTAGTTGCGTCATCACCTTTCCTTAGAGCCACTTGCAGCTCTTGGATGATGGCCTTCATCTCAACGAAGATCTCTTGCATGGCGCTGCAGAGATCTAGCAGCTCAAGAGAACCGTCCATTTCTCCATCCAACATGCTCCTCTGCTCGGAGGAGCAAACTTGGTTGCTTGGTAGGAAGATGATTTCTTCAAGACCATCGTAGATGTTTGCAAGAGTCCTGAGACCATCGCACATCGTGCTGATGGAATTAGAGGAAGAGATGCTTGCTTCTAGGCTCTGAAGCTCTAGCTCAACTTCGGTCTCACTGACGTGAGGCCTAGAAGGCAAACTTGTCGATCTTTGGTGGAAAGCCATGTCTGAGCTTGAAGATTTGCTCTGTATTGTGGTCGAAGAGAGGAGAAAGAAAGAAGAGCTTCTAGTTTGGTGCATCTACCATTCTGCTGACGCCTATTTATACAGAAGGTGTGTGTACAACTGTGTTGCAGCATCTGATTAGTAGACATGAAGAATCATGCCATTACATCAGCCTAGAGATCTGGCAGAAGCATAGAGATGCCAACACAAAAGTCGTCTCATGTTCACTCTGTCATGTTCCACTAATTGGCAGCAAGGACTAATTAACAATGGTATGGTTTGATAAGGGATCTTCACATAGTTGCATGCTCAAGCTATCATTTTAGTGGAATCTTGTCAGTTCAAGCCCTGAGAGTTTGTCCCCCATCTTCAAGGCAAGTTTATGCCGCTCTGCTGTCTTGTTATCGTTTCATACATTTATAATGAATGAGTATATGGGCCTGTCGAAAGTGTCCTAATTATCAAGGGCAAACTCGCACACGAGGATCAATTTTTTGTGTGTGTTAGATGATGTGCATTATCATATGCATGATGACTAGCCCTCTTCGTGATTAGCCGCTGGCACGCTGTCGCCGTGTCTTAGTTGTTAGTGGCAAACTCATCTGCACGAGGGTGTCGACGTGTGGTTTCGGCTTGCAGGTATAAGGAGTCATTGACTTCATCCGCATGTTCCAGCGTTGTGCTATCTGGTTCTGCTAACAGCTGTTGTCCAACCTTACATTCTTGACTCTTCATAACATCACTGGCATGTTTCAGTTGCATGCTTGCAATTCATCTAGTAATGATAACAAATGTAGAGGTGTTCAAGTGCACAAACTTCTTTGTGGCCCAAAAATGCTTACATTTTCTGTGAATTGATATTAAGCGTGCGTATATATATGAAGAGTTGGACAAGATTATAGTTGAAGAGGCACGGTTCTAAGGTTTTTTGACAAATATGTTGGTAAATTTCCTCACAAATTCTTAGCTACATGAGTTTTTTTAGTGTATAGGGTTCTAATGGATTTTAGTAGCGTTCTTATACGATGTAAGAGGGGCGAAGAAACAAACAAAAGTATAGTACCATGGCTTGATGAGGCAAAATATTTCCATTTTACAGTAGAGATTTTATTATTGTTGTTAGGTCGTCCTCCCGGGCGACACCGGAGGCGACTAGGGTTACCCCGCTCCACCGCTTCTAGCCCCCTCATCTTCCTCGCCGCCACCAGAGGAGGCTGCCGGGAGAGCCAGTGCGGCCGCTGGTGAAGGTGGCGGCGGGGATTTCGTCACTCCGGTCTTGGCAAAGGGAATGGGGCTCTAGGGCGGCGGCCCTGCTTGGAAAGGCGACCCCACCTTCGCAGCTGGCGGTGCTTATGGGAGAGGGTCGGTGTCCTCGGGGACGATGGCAGGCGTGGTTCATGGCCGGCGGTGTGCTCCGGCGGTTCTTCTAGCGTCAGATCTGAAGTTTCCCGTCTAGTCCACTTTCGGCCGGATCTCGTGCCGGTGATCTTGTCTCACCGGGCTAATGGTGGTTGGGCATGGTGGTGTGAGTTGGGTTCAGGAGAAATCTTTTGGTGGCTTCGCCGTCCACGTCGGTGCATCACCTGCAGGCGCTGCTCCCCTGCTTGGAGGCACCAACGAGATCCCTTCTCCCCACCCCCTCTTCTCCGACCCAAGATTAATTCTTGTTATCCCTTGCGAATGCGGCGGCGGCAGCGCTCGGTGTCGTTACCTCCATGGGGGCGCCGTTTGGCTAGGAGAGGCTAGTTTGTGGTG